TATTAAATACAATTGAATATTTTAGCACACCGGTTTGACATGAAGATAACTTAGAAGAATCAAGTAGTGATGCAATATAAGTCTGCAAAATAAGAAAACAATATGAATGCTATTGAGTACACCAACCATTGTCTTATAGGTTATCTTAAAAGAAAAGAATCTTATCTAAAGACTGGCACAGCGCGAACCCATTACTACAGACAAACTGGCATCGACCATTCAAATATTCCATAAATTCTTCACGCTTGAAAAATGCATAAATTTAAAGTAGAAAAAATCCTATTCAACATTTTTCTTTCTCTTTTATTTCAAGTAGAAAATAATTTTCTTAGAAAACGTGTTCAGAAATTTTACAGCAATAGAATAGCAGTAAACAATTTATGAGAGTAAATTAGGAGTATAATTTGTTATGAATCGATGCATTTTAAAAAGATTGAAAGTTTTTATTGTACCTAATTCTACTTTTGAGAATAAAATAAAAAGTTTTCTGGAATAGAATAAAACGTTTCTTTTGTGACAATTTTCCTTTCAAATTGAAGTCAATAGAGAAACAATTTCAAAAGGACTTGAAGGCAATTTTTATGACAAAAAAGTCCTTTTGCTTTGCAATTATCACAAATGAATGGAAATTCGTCGAGATTCATATTGAGTTTTTATTGAGTAGTTTTTTTACTCATTGTTCAGCATCTAGTTTGTCAATAGCTTCAAATTGGCTTTCATTATTCACCGATATCTGACACACCAAAAAAAGGCACTTATTGTCCTTGGTCCATTCATGTGAAAAGGCAAAAAATTTTGTACTCTTCTTTATCTTTATAACAATATTTTTATTTTCGTTTAATTTCTTTAGATTGCTTAAAATTGCCAGACACTCTGGCACTAAGAAGTATATGCATCCTTTGTTATTCTCACCTCTTCAAATGCCTTCTTCGTCTTCGCTTGAAAAGTGACTTTTATTTATTTTCTTTTCATATTTTTCATCTATTCAATTTTAGAAGAGATACTCCATAAAGTATATCTAATTGTTGCAAATTATAGTTTCTTAAAAAACCATATATCATTCGCACTTTTGAAAAGGAAACCTTAAAAAATCAATTAATTTTCTTGGAATCGTATTTTTTACTACTTTAATATCTTTTTAGGTTCTATTTATTTGCACTTATTATAGAAAAATGGAATGCAGTTAAGTGACTATTTCTAGAAGAAAAATAAACTTTTTATGTTTAGACTATTTATGGATCATTTGTTTTTTTAACTTCTTGTGAAATAAATATTATTATATGTTTTTCAAGTGATTCTCAATCTTTTTGAGAAAATATTTTTTAAAGAAGCTCAGAAAATCCTTGATTTGCGAAAGATTTTATCGATTTTAAACCGTAAGTTTTAACTTGACGATGATCTGAATATTGTTAAAACTAATTTCATATCGAGTTCTTCAAGGAATCTAAATTCTCATTAATTATTTTCAGTCATTTCTAAGATTTTTTTGTGTAAATAATATTTTATTAGATTTTGTTTAATCTTAAAACAGCTTAAAAAATTCATTTTACATCTTAAAACCTATGGTACGCCAACGAGTCCTTATTTTCGATATTGATTTTTTTTTGGTACCTTATTTTCGAGCATGAGTTCAAATTTTTTTTTCACGTTAAATTATTAATGTCTAATCTCTTTAATTAATGGTTTACATATTTGTTTTTCATCATCAAAATGCTAAAAGAATCCACTCAACTGTAATGAATCATTACTGATTTGCTAAACAATTAATGCAAGTGGATTAATGACATTTTAATTTTCAATGTAAACAACAACAAAATTTTTTGAATATTTTTGAAAAAAATCATATTAAACTAATGTTTCCTGCATTTATCATCGATTAAACGATTAAATGAGTGTTGATTAACATAGTAGAAGGATTCGATTCCTAAATAATAAGTGAATTAAGTCAAAAATTGCGAAAAGTTAAAATTTTCATAAAAATATGATTTTCGAAATTGCGAAATTTTGTTCGAAAAACATTCGAAACAAGTTTAAACTTATTTTGCTCCAACGTTGACATCGTCTCTTGGCATATCATAGCTTAAAACTTATAAAAGCCACAAAATCGCATTAAAAATCTTATTGGAATTTAAGATATTGATCTTATAAGAGAGAATTTAATTCCTTAACACCCATTGAATTTAAAATTTATTATAATCTAAACTAATGAAATTTAATGAATCATTAATTTTCCCCTAATTTAACTTAATTTATCTTAACTCAACTAAACTCAACTTAACTTAACTCAACTAAAATCAACTTAACATAACTTAATTGAACTCAACTAAACTCAACTTAACTTAAATTAATTGAACTCAACTCAACTCAATTTAACTTAACTTAATTGAACTCAAATAAACTCAACTTAACTTAACTTAATTGAACTCAACTCAACTCAATTTAACTTAATTTAATTGAACTCAACTAAACTCACCTTAGCTTAAATTAATTGAACTCAACTTAACTCAATTTAACTTAACTTAATTGAACTCAACTAAAATCAACTTAACATAACTTGATTGAACTCAACTAAACTCAACTTAACCTAAATTAATTGAACTCAACTCAACTCAATTTAACTTAACTTAATTGAACTCAACTAAAATCAACTTAACATAACTTGATTGAACTCAACTAAACTCAACTTAACTTAACTTAATTGAACTCAAATAAACTCAACTTAATTGAACTTAACAAAACTCAACTCAACTTAATTGAACTCAACTAAACTCAACTAAACTCAACTTAACTTAACTTAATTGAACTCAACTAAACTCACCTTAGCTTAACTTAATTGAACTCAACTAAACTCAACTTAACTTAAGGTAATTGAACTCAACCTAATTCAACTTAACTCAAATAATTGTAACTTAACATATCATTTAAAATTAAAATAATGATTTAACAAACAAGACATCTTTAAATAAATTTTAAATTAAATCTCAATAAATAAATTCAAATACATATTCAATTTTCTATTTCATTCCATTACAGCGATCCCGAAAATAACAAAAGTAAAATTACTCAATTTCAAATATCAAAACATTTTCAAAAGAATGTAATCAAGCATGATTAACAAGTAGCTATAATATCCAAATAACAACATTGAATCTCAAGATAATCTATCGATTGCACGATCATACTTATGAGCATTAAAGTATTAATTTATTGCGAATTTTCGAAGAGGAAAATTTTAACTCTTGGCAATTATTTACAATAACAGCAAGTAACAACAAGAGAACCCTTTCTTTTCAGTTATAATAACAACAAAAAAGACTTGTAAAATCCTTGTCATGTACTGTAATTTTATATCAAAAGAATAAGAATGAAAATTGAGCAAATGAAGCCTTAAATTTATTTGAAAGTGTAATAAACAAAAGAAAAGAATAAAATTCAATGGCAATGGGGTAAGAATTGGTAAAAAGAAGACGAAAAACGAAGTGCAACAGAGATTGAAATTTGAACACGTGTGTGGATATTAAATGTATTGAATAACGAACGAATATATTTTTTTTTCTCGGGTTTGTTGCTTCATTTTTCAGGTAGAAAAACAAAAAAAAAATCGTATTTGAAAGAGGACAGTCAACCTTAAAATTTTTATTATTTATCTTTCATGCACTCAGAAGTCCTTTATAGTTACTTAAATTTATGTTTTATTTTCTTAATTTTTCTCTTCTTTTAAAGAAATTTTGTGTTTACGCTTGAAAGGCTTCAATGGTGTTATCAGACTCATCAAATCTGCCCGATGGGGGATTTCCAATTCTTGGTTCCATCAAGTAACATAAAAAAAATAAAATTAATAATGACAAAAGAAGAAGAGAAATGAAGATTAATCAATTCTTCAATCTTCTATAGCTTAACAGCAAATAATTATAGGTTTTAAGAAGGAACATAATTTTTTTATTTATCGAGAAAAAGTCCTTCGATTTATTTTTTATAAAAGATTTTGCAATTTTATGTTTTATTTATGAGGCTAATTTCTATTTCTTTTCATGAGATGAAAATGACCAAAAAGAGATCTTTTGTGAACCATTTTTTTTTGTGTGAAGGAATTAAGTGAAATTTTGAAACATAAACATGCTTGGTTGAGTCTTTTAAAAAAACTGCAATAAGAAAATCTTGTTACGACGTGTTATGCTGTGTTTGGTCATGCAATAACATGGACTTAAAAGAGACACATGATTATATTAGCAGATCAAGTGAACAATGCTCTAATTTACAGACAATGTTCTGATAGAAATTACAATAAACATTAATAACGACACCTACACAATTTCATCAATTTAACCCTATTATCGCTTATTGAATGAAACCGTAAATTAAACTCCCTTAAATCCTTTATCGCTGAACCATGCACGACGCTCAAAATATTTTATTTTATTTTTATGTTAAGAGAAGACTTCAATTCATTAATTAATAGGAATGTGATACATGCTTGCTTGCCTATCCTTTTCATTCTACTTTAAAGATCATCATCATCATAAAAAAGGCTAAATCACTCACTTAAACTCAATCCCTCGTCTTCAATATGTTGTATGTTGTTAAAAATTATTTTACTTTCCCACAGTTTCTAAAGAACATCATAACAAAAAAAAAGTATTCAGTTTCTTTATTTTTTTATATTTTTTTTGGATAAGATATTGTGCATAACATAATATATAACAGTGCCCGCAAAAGACACATCTGCACCTGCCTGCCAAAATCGTGTTCTGATTCGTCCATAACTTGAATGGGATTTTTTTTATACATTTATTCCTTCTCCCACTCACACATCGATGTGAGGAATGATGCATGAATATGTGAAGTGTGTCCTAACAGCACCCGAAACAAATAAGAAATCGACAGAGAGCACGCATGAATTTTTTGTATAAAAGAAGCCTGTATGCAGTGAGAATGCATTAGAATCATTCGAGTTTTCGAAGAATAAACTTCTAAAAAATAAATTCTTAAAAAGGAACAAAAAATTATTTTTTGTGTGATATAAAAAAATATTTGTGATATTTTTGGAAAGTTAAAAAAAAGTTAAAAATAAATTAAAAATGGAATCAATTAACAATACAAACAACATCAACATCGAAATCGCATCGAAGAAAAGCAAAAAGAAGCAAAAAATCATGAAAATCTTGAAAATTGCTTTGAAAAAATTATCTCAAAAACTCATCAAGAAGATCCACATTGAACAAGAACAAGTTCGATCAGAAGAAGTTGACAATGACTTCAATGAAATGTTGGAGCGTCGCATGGAGACACAACAAAATTTAATCAATGAACAAATTGTTGGAAAAAAAGAAGCTGAAACAATTGGTTATTGCTTTGTCGAAAATGAACATGGCAAATTTTACTGGTCATCAGAAATCAACAGATTCGTTACAGTCGATTGTGATTTAATTGCCTCAAATTTCTGCACATCACAACGTCAACAACCACAAGTTCAGTGCTATTAAATTTGGAATCATGGCACAGCAACTCAACCAGTGATATTTAAATGTGAAACTCATTGTGATAAAAAATGATTGAAACCAATTGTGATCTTCTTGAAAGCTTTAAAAATTAATTAATAAGATTAGATTAGAATGTCTTCCACTTAGAATTAATTAGAATTACATGTCTTCCAACTTAAATTTAAGAAAAATACATTTAAATATTTGTTATGAAAAAAAAAATTATTTTTGACTTTTTTATTTATTTTTTATGAAAAATTTCAGCAACAAAAAAATAGTAATTTAATCTATAACAGCAGTTTTAATTTACAGCAAAAAAAAACACCATCATCAAGTGTAAATCCACGGTAGCAAAAATTCAAATTGAATTAATTTGAGGCTTTGTTTGAAGCACGCTCATCAGATTTATCGTTTATGACCTTCTTCGCCGCTTTTGCTGCATGCGCTTTAGCACACGTTAATTTTTTTCTCTGTCTTCCTTTTGCCTCTTCTTTGCTAGCTTCTCTCGATTTTAATTCAAAATTTTTTATTTCTCTCTTTTTTTCATTCGTTGTTATTTTGCGCGCGCGAGCTGAATTAAAGAATGGGAAAAATTTTCATTTAACATTCGGTAGCCAATTACAATGATGATACTCGACGATAACATCGCAAAAATTATTTAAATAACATTTTTAATGTTACTATAATACAGTAACCAAGTGCTACTAGCCATTGTGGATGGGAATGAAACGATATCTTCATGCTCACGCTGTGTTTTTCTGTCATTTTGCAGATCTGAAACTTCTGATAAATGAAATGTATTTTTCGAGAAGTGAAATGGCTTTGGTAAAAATATACTTGACACGTTGGATTGTCATGTGAATTAATTGGGATTTTAAAAAGAAATTTTACGAATGTTTATCTGATTTTCATCTTTAATGTTTTTATGCTGAATAATTGCTTCATGGATTTTAATGAAGACAGACATTAAAATAAGAATTTTAACAAGATTTGGTTTCTTCCTGACTTTTTTTTTGGAGTTAAAGAAGCAATTATCCTACCTAAGATATCGCCATTACTTAGCTCTATTATAAGCTATTATGTTCTTATAGGAATTGTCTAGATCTAGTCTATTATCTTGTCTAAGTATTGAAACATCTAGAAGGAAGAAGCAAACTTCTAGATGACAAAACCACAGAAAAGTATAACTCCGAATAACGGATCCCGAGCGAGACTCGAACCTACTTCCTATGATTTCCAGTCACGTGCTCCTACCGCTGAGCTATCATGGGTTAATCAACTATTTGGATAAATCCCATATATAAGTTACACTCTTTTTACTGTTCCCTTGCATCACATGATTTATCGTTGACTGGCTATTACATGGAATCGATATTGACTCTAGATCTTAATGTAGACAAAATAATTTGTAAACTCTTAGCAAGGATCTCTCCTTGCAACTACCAATTTTAAACTTTGAAATTCAACAATGTCTAATGTATCTCATCTTAAATCCCATCCACATTTTTGTAAGCTCAATTAATTAATTAATTAATGACTAAGCTTTTAAATAAGCCACACGCATTCAATTCATCACAGCTGGGAACATTCAAAAAAAAACTATCAACAAGTCAATGAAAAACTATCTCCAATCAACATGTAGCAGTGAGCAAAAACGCAAAGTGAACTATTGTTATTTCCTCTCTATTTATAAAATTACTTCCATTTTTCACTTTGCTTCTCAATTTCCAATACAATTTGTATATATATAAATAATTTGAGGGGTCGATATTATAAATGAAGGAAAAATTAATGCCTTCCATAGGTATTTCACATGTAATTTAAAGAATTGTAAATAACGAGGGGAGAATTGAATGAATGAAAATGAAGAGAACTCAACCTGAAATATGGAAACTAATAAATAATTCGTTTTAAAGTTGAGTGCATGTGAACATTTAGAATAGGAAGTAAAGAGACAACTTGTTGCATAATTTAGTGAAAACATTGGGTCATAATTTGTATACAAGTATGTTTATGAGTATGAAAGGATTTTTTGGTTCTTTTTTGGAATAATTAATAGCCTGAGTTATAGGCAACAAATGCAATAAAGCAGTTATGGGAAGTGATTTTGTTTTGTTTTTTATTTTTGAAAAATAAGGAGTTTTAATATAGGCGGTCAGAGGAAGGGGGGGGGGGGGGGGGGGGGTCAGCAAGAAAAAAAAAATAGAAATTTCTGGAAATTGTTCTTTTTTGAAAAATGGCCGTTGATTTTGGACGTCATAATTGAAGAATCCCTAAGTTGAGAATTCTTTAGACGATGAATTTTAACATTATGAACTAGCCATAAATATTTTAATTAAGGTTAATTATTTTAAACCATTTTTTATTATTAGACATTTCAAAAATTACATTAGTAGCCCAAAATCATTAAAAAACGTAGTAAAAAGAAGGATTCACTTTATTTTTCTACTATGTTTTTTTAAAAGTAAGTGATGGATTTAATTTGTAAGGAACAATGTATTAAAAAGTAACAGCCCACATATCTAGTATTGTTAATATAGCGGCTTTTAGAGTCTAGACTGCGTATAACTCTAGAAATATGTAAGCAACTTTAACCTAAAGATAAAGCACATCAGTTACTACCACTGTTTAAATCATATTCCGACTTCAAGCGACGTTCCTGAAAACTCAATGCAATATTCAAAAATAAGAGACAAATTTTTTTATTTTTTCGAAAAACTTTAAAAATCTTTATTTCAAATTAGACACACACAAAAAAAATAATAATAAAATAATAATCAAATTAAAATTACACACACGAAAAAGTTGTCATTTTAATAAATTACAAATGTAAAATGCTTACAAGCTAATCCACACAATACAATATTTCCTGCATGAACATAAATCATGCAAGATAATATTCCTTAAGCATCTAATGAAAACACATAAATTGTTTGAAGAGATCATTATGAAATACAGTTTTTTTCAAATCTTACAAATGTAGTGAAAAATGTCTTAATATTCTAACAAATCCTTAAAGTGCTAACAAATAAGTCTCGTATAATCTATGAATCCTTGAGGCACACACATTTTTTTTAAGAAGAAAAAAATTGTTATTTTTTTTGTGGAAAAAAAGGCACACAAAATTGTGAAACTTAAGAACTATTTTATGGAAGCCAAATAGATTTTGTGTTATAATTCTCTGTTCCTTTTGTCAATATTTGTAAATGTTTTTCCTTTTCTCGAGTTTTTAAGATTTACAAGATGAAAATAAAGTAGAAAAATTTATGCGAATCGTTATTTCTTATTCATCTATATCACAGTCAATAACTATCCTAATATTTTATTCTATATCACAGAATTATGAGGTCCTTATAACTAAAGAATTTAAATCAAAATGAGTATTATTCTCATATCTTACATAACTAAAATGATTGACACTAATCGGCCTATTTAAATTTCCATTTTCATATGATTCATCATGCATAACCAATTCTTGTCATCATTCAACTTCACGGTCACAATGAAATTGAATACGAGAGAATTAAGTCATTTTTGTCGATGAATGGAATAAGAAAAATTTTGAAATTTTTTTTAACTAATTCTAAAGGAAAAGATTCTGTTTGATCACAGAATATTTTGTGAGCCTGTCTAATGCAGTTAAGCATTCCAGACAGATATAAAAAAGCTCTCTCTGTATTAAAAAATTATCACAAAATATTGCACGTAACTGTGAAATCTCCAGAATTGTTATGAGAATGAGCATGGAAGACATAACGGAAGAGAATAATTGTTGCTCATTTCCAAACATTCTGGCTTAAATTTCACATTATAAAAAATTATTTATTGCACACGTAAAAAAATATTGCGAGCATATAGAATTTATGCATATAAAATTAACGAAATTAGTAGCAACGATAATACTCTGATACTCAAATAAATTTTTTTCATTATCTGCTTACATTAAAAAGGTCATTGCGTTAGACATAGAATATCCATCTTATCATAATCTATTGAATTTAACATTGAATTTAATCAACGATTCCTATTACGATTTATCTAAATCCTCAATTCTATTATTGTTGGTGTTAATCATAACGCAATAACCTTGAAGACCCAGGGGCTACTAATATCACATTGGGTCATATCACAAGTCATTTTATTATCGCTTAATGTCGATCCAATGAATCCATAATTAGGTAAAACTTTATGCAACAGCAATAAAGAATGGATTTTTGGGATCTCTATACTTTATAATTTTCTCATCTTAATTACTAATTAAAGCTCATTTGCGGCATAACGATCGCACGTCTTTCTATCTTTTCACTTGCATTTCTTACTAACTCGAAAAAAGGCAAAATAATTTGAAGATTATAGCTTATTTATGAGAGATTTAATTAAGTTAATGAATTAATTTGTCAGGTTTGATTTCAATTAAAGCTGATTTTACCTTAGGTGTGATTAAATTTGTAATATTTATAGGTTTTGATATCCAGTAACTTAATGAGAGATAAAACTGTAAGCAAATTAGCTGTTGCCTGTATTTACAACAATTTAATCATCATTTTAAGTTACTGAGACATCGATACTTAATTACTAAATTAAAGCATGCATGATTTGGTTGTTCATGATTTGAACATCCTAGTTTATGGTAATTTTGATTTTCCTTAATTTCAACTTACACTAAGTATCCTTCTTCCTCCAAATACTGTCCCTTAAAATACATATTATCCAATGATGCTCGATCAATTTCAGCCAACATAAATTTGTATCCTTTGCGTCTCAAGCTCTCGTTCAATTTCTGAACATAAAGTGCATTATCATTATTATTATTATGATAACTCTTTGCATTGTGCTGCTGGCTCTCGTTGAGATAGTAATTGTAGTTAATTGATGTTTTATCGATCACGTATGGCGAATTAACTGGCAATCTTGACGATGTTGTCATTAATGTCGGAACCGTTGCATTCAAATTAACACCATGATATAAAGAGCGATCGTCAGAAAATGACTTGTAAGCTGATTTTTCACTTGATGTCATACCAGTTTGTTGATGAGGGAATTTATCAGTTGTAAAACCATAAATTTCATCATTAAACTTAACATTTGCTTCCTCTTGCTTCACTGCTGGATGAATGCGATTGTTCAATAATTGCTGATTGACACTTTTTAACTTTCGTAACTTCTTCTTGTTCTTCTTAATGATTTTTGTGTCGGAAATCAATTGCTCCAATTTATGCCAATAACGATTCAAATTGATTTTGGCTGAATCGACAAATATTCTCGATGATAATCTTGGTTTCATTGGCTGTAGAAAAATAGAATTGGATTAGATTTTTTTGACATCACAAATTTTATTTTTGTAGAATCTTCAAGAAAGTTCTTGATAATTTAATCCAAGGACGATGACACCTACCTCATCGAAAATAAATGAAGAATTATTCAATTCCATAATAGATTCTTGTAGCTTCAACTGCATGTTTTGTTTGTTTACACGAAAAAATTATCACAAAACACAATTTTGTTATTTTATTTTATTTCTTTACGAAATATTGTCTTTCTTTTCACTGCACTTCTTCAATAACTTGCTGTGGTGAGAGTAAATGTTTGAATGATATCAAGGAGTAAAGTTCTATGTGCTTATATACAAAACTACTCCTACTCACAGAACAGAAATTTCGTTCTCAATTTTCTTCCTTTCCTCTTCCCTCTCTCCATTCGTAGCGCGCTCGATGCACACGAGCATTTTGATGTAACACGTGTTATGCTTACTTGCATTGCTCCTCTGATGCTCTGTTTTCTTGTTAGGCAGTAGTGAAAAAGTTCTTGCATGTACGGGCGGAATTAAATGAGAGAGAGGATAAAAGAATTGAGAAAAGAAAAATTTGATGAGCGCATGCATAAAGCGAGCGGAGAACGTGGACATTTGAAACTTTTTTTTTGTCTTGAGCTTCTTTTTTTATGTTGATTGTTTTGACTTGACTTCTGACTGCGATGATAATTTTTTTCATTCTTTTTAAGCATGCTTGTGGCTTAAGATTTATAATGCTTTCCTAAATGGACTTGTTTATGATTTGGTTTTGGACTCAAAAATCTGATTTATTAGGTTTATAGTTCTTAAATATATCCGATGAGCATAAAGGCTTAGTTTGTTGTTCTTTGCAATAAATCAGAGCATTTTCTAAAGCTTTCATATTATTTTTACTATGATTTTCCCTCCAAATCATTTACTAGTGTTCTATGCTATATTGACGCTACTTCCACTTCAAATTTTACTAAAATAATAACAATTCATTCACAGACAACAGAATCTAATTATCATGCTGCCAGAATAACTCACCAAAGTTCATTTCAACCCATTTGATTATACATTGAAACAACATACAATTTACTCATTAATTAACTCATCCAATTACATATTTGCTATATAATTAGACTCAAACCAAAATCGCTTGATTCAATGAAAGCAGAGCAATTAAAATATCACAAATTTTTTATTTTTAATCAGATTATTTTTCTTTATTTGGAATCACTCGATTGCGCGAATATTACATGTCATCTGTCTTTTAACTGTTAATTAAGATATTGAATTAAAATTGATTTTGTTTGTTACCTGTGAGATCAGAAAATAACTCTTTAATAGGAGATCAGCAATTAAATACCCACGGCGGGGAAATATTTCGAAATTACTTCTTATTAGATTTAAATCACCTCAAATTTGCACTTGATTTTTCGAAATTATGCAATCAAATTTGCACCCCAATTTAGTCATTTAAACCTATAAGAATTTTTGGTTCACCCATCGTCCCTTTTGTTTCCGATCCACCCTAAAATTCCTATAAAGTTTAGTCGCATGCATAGGGAAGTCATTACTATCGGCATTTGTGCCCTTTGATTTCTATTGCATTAAAATAACCCTCATTAAATGCATATTTTCAGTTATGTATTGGAATGCCTTGCTTCATATTATATCCATCAATAAATTACCATGCGCAGGCATCAGTCAAAAAGAATCCTTTAATTTTGAAGTCATCCAGCACCCAAAAAAACGGTGATTTCAATCAATTTAATTCAGCTTATAAGAGTACGTACGTCCGCCGTTTATCATTATATATTTTTTGGACTGAGATTCGTAATTTATACATGACATGCTATGGAATTTCCTGAATCATTAAGTAACATCCAAACAGGAAGCGAAAAGAAATTTACAGACAAAAATTGACGGGTAATTGAGAAATGTTTTGCTGGGCGAACGAGAGAAGACAAAAAATATCATTTATGGCAATATACGCGGCCTTAAGTCCCAAAAAATAACCAATAATGATCATCATTGTGCTGTTTTTTCAACGTTTCAAGTTGTTGCCAATTCGAACTTTAAGTCATTAAGACACATTAATATAATTGCGAAATTTGAATAATCGTGCGGTTTTTGAGACAAAAAGGTGGCTACCGGGCATTATTACTGTGAAACTGTTTTCATTCACCAAAATGCAATCAATTAAATGCACGAATATCAATTTGAATTCAAATTTCATTATGTTAAAAGCTACTTAAATCAATTCTCTCCATAGCTAAATATGTGTTTATTAAATAGAACAATTTTTTTTGTGAAAGATTAACGAATCGAATCGGACACAAATGTACGGTAATGATTTCTCTCTGAGCCTTTCACTCTGTGCTCAAAAAAAATTTTTTTCCCATGATTTCTCATCCAATAAATTTTCTATAATACAAAAATTAATGTGTGAACTGGACGCCAGGTGCTGGATATATGTATAGACATTCATTTGAAAATTCATACTATCCTATTCGGAATTGCCTTACATTTTTAATAGCTTAAAAGAAGCAAAAAAAAATGACATGAAGATAGAATGAGAAAAAGGAAACAAACAGAAGAAAAAACAAAATCCTCGACTGCAGCAGTAAAAATTCTCATCCATATAAAGAGTACTATGGATGCTCTCTGTAAGGATATTTTTTCCAACCATCCGTATGTTATTTTATATTTTTTTCCTTTGCTCGAATCTCCTTGGTTTGGCGAAAAAAAAAGGAGAATTGAATAACAACAATAACATCAGCACAACAGAAGAACTCGAGTGTGGGAAAGTTTGAGAATTCGGTTCTCATACCCTTATTTTTCTGTGTATGGATTAATATGCACACCTGCCGTCGCTCGAAAACAACATTGAAATGATTTCAATTTGAAAGAAAAATTTAAAAACATGTAAAATGAAATGATGTCACACATGTGGCATGAATATATAAAGTATAAGGAATAAGGAAGTGGAGGAATTGCATAATTTAATTTTTACCTTACTGTTGTATGCACCCCATACGTGATAGTAGAATTTCTTTATACACATCAAGGAAAAAAAATTATTCAAACACATAATAACAATGAAGAAGAATGACGATCATGCACGATGATGATATTTGAGGGGTTGATTTTTATAAAAAAAAAATTATGTATACAATGCAATCATAGGGGCATTAAGAAGATTTCGTTTCAATTTTAAATACCTTTGCATTATATTTGCCATGCATTGCTATTTTCCATATAATTTGATATGTGAAGAAATATTTTAAATATAGAGGGGAGTCAAAACTAGAATCTTTAAAATTGTAATGAATGGAAAATCATTTTATGTGGTTTCTACACGAAAACATAATCTTTTGCATTTATGCAGCTTCGTGTATTGTTTAACTTGATCTGATTCTATCCTTTTGTGATAATTTTACACTTGTTTAAATGAATAGAAAGGGATTTAATGTGTGATGGCCTTTTGTTCTTTTTCTTCTGGATTCTCTTTTGGTATGTTCTTCTTTGTTGTTGTTATTTTATTTTGGGTGCGTAATTAAATGTCAGCGGTGCTGTTTTGTTTATTTAATTTTATTACATCAATATTTTGGCATATATTTACAGACATTTAATATTAATTGTTGAGGGTCTTGAAGAAATGTTGTTCAAAAATTAGGATTGAAAATCTAATGCAGTGTTGTTCAAACTTTTTTGATTCACGGCACACCTTAGGGGTAAGCCATTACCTAAGTCGCACATAGCATGCGGCTTGTGTCTTGTACAAAAAATTTCTACGGCACACAGTTTGGACAACACTGATCTAAAGGGTAGCTTTAAATGGAATAAATTCTTAACAAGGCATTCGTTTTTATTCGTTCAAATCTTATTTGTTTGCTGCATAATTAATATATCTGCTCAGAGTCAAATTCTGTTATCGTCTAGCTGTTCATCAATGATTAAACAGAAAAATTAAAAATTAAATCAAGGCAATCATGTAGAAACTAGCTCTGAAGAATCGAGCAGGGGAGGGGGGGGGGGGGTTGGTTTAATAAAATAATTTAACTTCAAGTGAGTTTTCTGTCAACAAAATCTCAACCCTTCCTATTCGAAAATTTTTAAAAATTTATTTTGACTATCCGCTGTGCTTACCAAAAAATAAATCTGTTGATTCTCAATTATGTTCAAACAATTCAATAACCCTACAGAAGTTTACCAACTTTTCCACATAGTAAATTAACAATACAAACATCTATCGAGTCAGTCAATCAATCAATTATCAAGACAGCAAGTAAACAAGATAAATGCTTCAAAAACTTCATAAATCTTTCGGTTAGTATATCATGCATTTTTTGGAGCATCAACAAGACATCAAGCAAATTAGTCAAAATATTGTGCTAAAAGAATCCTTTCCCACATAAAAACTCCGTCAACATCATTAAAAGATCATTCATTTAAAAGAAGATTGTCATGAATAATTTACAACCAGACTGTCTATGGGAGCACATAAAAAATCATTTCTCGACCTAATTTTCTGAGAACATTTTTCTAAAAATATAAAAAAAAATTCTAAAGGCTTAATTATGATTGCTCGTTCTATAGTTTTTTTTATGATAATAATTTAAAAGGAAAACCTAGATCTGTCATTAACCGTAGAACATAATAAAAATAAAGACGAGATGATGAAGATGATGTTGCATTCATTAATTTTCCATTCGTTACCACATTTATCGACTAAACATAGAAATGAGATGGGAAAGAAATTTCTCATTATCTCGTTTGTATTTTCTATGCAGCGCGACGGGAAGAACATAACATAACACATTTAACGGACGAGAATCCTTTCACAGTAAATTCTCATAAAAAATATATTTTTTTATAACAACATCCAGACGGAATCTCTTTTTTTCATCATGGTAAAATAATATGTTGATGACGATTTTTTGTCTACTAAAAGCTGACAATGTGAAAGGATAAATCTATTACTGTTAATTTCCGTTAAGTCCGCCTTCAACAAAGTCTTCCTTTAATTCTGTCGGAAATCTATAAATCAAATTTATAAATAGAGCTAGAAAAAAAGGATTGTAAGAACAGAAGTTAACCGATATATTTCTGTATTTTTGCACTACTAGCTTCCTTGAACCATTTTTTACCGATATTTGTGTTTCTCTTTTGTGGATACAGTAAAGATTTGAGATGAGGCACTCCAACAAGATATTGAAAAGGATTAAAAAACAACGCAAAAAAAGAATTTTTGACCTTTTATAAAATCATCATAAAAATGCACACATATCC